TTTCTTTCTTTCTTTCTTTCTTTCTTTCTTTCTTTCTTTCTTTCTTTTTCTTTTTGGTTTTTCAAGATACGGTTTCTCTGTGTAGCCTTGGCTGTCCTGGACTCATTTTGTAGACCAGGCTGGCCTTGAACTCACAGACATCCTGTCTCTGCCTCCCTGAGTTCTGGGGTTACAGGCGTGTGCCACTGTGAGTAACTTTTAATTATGTTTATTGATAAGAAGTAGCTGTGTGTATTATGGGATACAGGGTGGCATTTCATATTTTTGGTTGTGAGCTTAGCCTTTAATGGCTGAGCCGCCTCTCCAGCCCTGGTGTGGCATTTTAATCCATATGTACAGCATGAATTATCAGCCAGGCAACTTCCATATCTGTCATCTTATCAGTGTGTCTCATTTCTTTGTGTTGGGAATGTTCAAAACTCTGTCGGCTATTCTGAAGCATTCAGTAAATTGTCTAACTACACTTCATAATCTTAGACGTTATTTGTCCCTCTTCTATTGGTCTTCATTTCTCTACCTCCTTTCCCCTTCCCAGGTTCTGGTAACCCCCCCCCCCCCCCGCCGCTTTTTTCACTACTGTTCTATTACCGTTTTTTGTTTGTTTGTTTGTTTGTTTTTTAATTAAGACAGGGTCTTACTGTGTAGCCTTGGCTGGCCTGGAACTTGCTGGGTTGACCTGGTGGCTTCAAACCTGCTTCTGTCCCCCAAGTTTCACTTATGTTCAGGATTGCTCTAGCTGTTAAGTCCCACCTCCCCACCCCAATATAAAATTTGTGATTTAAAAACAAAAGCTAATTTGTGTGTGCGTGCACAAGCAGACCCCAGAGGGAGATGCCAGGTGTTTGGACCTCTCGCTGTCTAACTTACTCCACAGAGACAGACGACTTCCTGAACCTGGGTCAAGGCCGGCGGCCAGCAAGCCCAGCGATGCTTCTGTGCCTGCCACTGACAGTGGGACCATGCCCAGATTCGCGTGTGGGCTCTGAGGATTTGAACTCAAGTCCTTGTGCTTACCTGTGCAGTCGCTTCCCGTTGGGTTGTGATTGTGTTTCCTTCTGTGAAGAATCTCATGTGTCTTCTGAACTGGCACTGTAGTATTGCAGCAGTCAATTCTCTGTCTCCTTCTCTTTCTTTTTTTCTCCTCCTCCTCCTCCTTCATCCTCTTCCCCTTCTCCAATCTTCTTTTTTGACACAAGTTCTTTCTCTATAGTATTGTACCTCTTGGAACTCTATGTAGACCAGGCTGGTCCCAAAGGCACAGAAATCCATTTTGCCTCTGTTTCCTAAGTGCTGGGACCAAGGGATCAAAGGGATATGCCATCATCCTTGGCTCCTTTTTTTCCCCCGTGTGTGTGTGTTCTCTTTGGCTTTATTTGTTGTTTTGCGATTTTCACTGTAAAAATCTTTACATGTATTCTAGGGGCCTTATTTTTGGCCGCTGTTTGTGAATGGGAATGGTCCTTGATTTGTCTTCCAGCAGTTTCAGTATGGGTGTATAAAAGAGCTACTTAGTTTTTAAAATGCTGGTCTTTTATTTTGCAACCCTACTGAATTTGTCACTTCTAACAGTTTTTGGCAGGAGTCTTGAGTTTTCCTGTGTTTAATGCAGTGTCATGGGCAAACAGGGATAGCTTGACTTCCTCTACCATGTCTCAGCGTCCTCATTTCTTCAGTTGCCTTATTTCTGCGGCCAACCCTTCTTGAACTGTACCCTGTAAGAGTCAAGCAGGCGTGTGTGTGTGTTTGTGCCTGTAATCCCAGCACTTGGCGGTGGTGAGGGGTACAGGAAGATCAGGAGTGCAAGGGCATTCATTTTTTTGAGATGAGGTCTGACTATGTAGTTGAACCTGGCCGCAATTTGCTTCGTGACCTAGGCTGCAAGGCTGCAAGGCCTGTAATATGTTCATTTATCTTGGTGTGTGTGTGTGTGTGTGTGTGTACATACATTTTCACCTGTGGTGTGCCTGTGTCACAGTTTGTGCGAGGAGTTGGAAGACAAATCAGGTGTTGGTCTTCACCATCTGCTTGAGGAAAGGTGTCTTTAAAAATGTTATTTTTAAAAATAATTTTGTACGTGTATACAACATATTTGGGTCATTTTCACTCCCCTGTTATCCCCTCTCACCCCCTCCCACTCTAATGAAACATCAATTTTTCTCCCTCCCAGTATCAACAGCTTTTTTGTTTGTTTATTTGTGACCTGCTGAATTTAGTAAGGCTTGCTCGCACGAGCATTGGCGGGGAGTTATTTACTGGTGCGTGGGCGATGCAACCGTGGTTTGGCCACTGAAGGAAAGAGTTTTTCCTCCTCCAGCAACCTGTAACACCCGCTAGTCCCTCGGGCTGTGTCCCTCCCAGAGCCCCTCCCTTGGCCCCCTCCCCCCATGCAGTGCTGACTGGCTCCACCTTGAACAGTTCTGGTGCAGGTGACAGCTGCAGGTCAGGAGTGCTGTGACACCCGAAATCCAGAGACTGTGCTTCACAGCCCTCCCCCTCATCCTCCAGCTCCTACGGCTTTTTTTTACCTCTCCTTTGAGATGCTCCCTGAGCCTTGGAGCAGGTAATACAGATGTCCTCTTTAGGGCTAAGCAGTCAACACTCACTTGTCCTCAGGATGTTGACCAGCTGGGAGTCTCTGCATTAATCATTGCCAGGACCAAAAGAAGCTTCTCTGACCAAGCTTGAGAGCAGTGCGAATCTATGGATATAAATATTAATATCCAGAAGGCAGATTGATTACCACATCCATTTAGCAACATAGCCATAGTCAGTTCCCCTTGGGGCCTATGACCTCCTGAATCATGGGCTTTAGACAAGGTCTACAGTACCAGGCATGAAGCTCTCCTACAGAGCTGGCCTCAAATCCAATCGCAAAGCAGTTGGTTAACCACGTAACAGTCACATCTTCTGTTGTGCCAAAGGGGACGTGGGTATTGTAGCGTGCGTGGTTCACAGCCGGGTAAGACCCGTTGATGGCTTTTTCTTTCCTAGTAGCCAACATGGCACCGTGAAAGCTATGCGCAGCAGGGAGGAAGTTTCCAGTTTAGTTCTAGCCGACTCTCTCTCAGGATGCAGGCCTGGCTGGCCTAAATAGTGCTCTTCCTCTCTCTTTCTCGTGTGTGTGTGTGTGTGTGTGTGTGTGTGTAGCTTGGAGGTCAGAGATCAACCTTGGGTTTCATTCCTCAGGAACTATTCACCTTTTAGAAAAAGCCTTATTTATTCTTATTTTACGTGGATGACTGTCTTACCCACCTATGTATCTGTGCGCCTGGTGCCAGATGAGGCCAAAAGAGGGTGTAAGATCCCCTGGAACTAGTTATAGGCAGTTGTGAGCTATAGGTACCATATGGGTGCTGGAACTGAACTCAGAACCTCTGGAAGAGCAGCCTGGTAGATTGTGTGTGTTCAAAAATTGATCCATTTTTTTCTAGGTTTTCCATTTTTGTCATATATTCAGCCATAATGATCCTCTGTGCTTCACTTTTAATGTCTCCTTTTCATCTCTGATCTGACTTATTTGGGATTCTCTTTTCTCTTGTTTAGTCTAGCCCTGGTTAGATACCACAGGCTAACAAATGAAAAGCTCAGTGCCGGGAATGGGTTACACCTTTTAGATTTGATGATCAGTGAGCTACACTGATTTCCAGACA